ATTATTACAGTTCTCATCAGAATGTTCTCAGCCTCCACTTACTTGTGCCTTATCAATCCTCTGAACCAAAAGTATCTTAACACACACAAAACAGCAAAGGCTTCCCCTCCACACACCCCCTCTCAAAGTGCCTAAATCTTTCCATAGCTACTAGATTTTGTGCAGCAAAGGGTTCCACAGTATAGCTACCTTCTTGTTAAGAACTGTTTGTTTGAACCCTGCCACTCTGCAGCCACCACTTCTACCAAAATAAAAGCTAGGCAGGATAGCTTGAAAACAGGCAAGTCTCTATTTAACTTCTCCAGATCATTCATAATTTCAGAATCTTAAGTTTTTTCTCCTTCAAGAAGGTCATTTCATACTTGCATCCTTCTTCTGAGGAGGCTTATGGGTTGGGGCAGGGCCAGGGAAACAACAAGGCACATGGTGTTGCACATGTAGACTTGCAGCGTACTTCAGTGGCATAACAGCCTTTTTCTTTTCCGAGGATTCACCAGCTTTCAGTTTCTGTACAATGAAAGTGTTTTAACAGATCCTCCAACCTGAGCAATCCAGCTCACAGGCCATATCAGGTCTACATCAAGTTAGGATTTACAAGTGTAACATTTATCTACAAACAATTTTACTTGCTATGACGCAACTTACTCCAGAAAAATGAAGTACTTCCGCACAGCCTACACTTCTTGTGCAAGTACCTTAGTACAACTGAACTCTTCTCACTATTCATCACTTCTTCTGTTCAATATAACCACAGGCAATTAGGAAAAAGTTCCAGCACAAAATACAATGGGACTTCATTCTGACAAGCTATCATTTATTTGCATAGGAACTTTCCTTAAGAAAAGGCCAGAGTGAATAACCAACCGGCACCACTCCATGGAAGCTTGCTTTACGAGTCTTCCACAGTGACATTTACAAGCTCCTTTTGAAAAATTAAGAGAAGAATATTTATTTGGAATAATTTCTTCTCTAAATCAGACTCACTTAAATCTCTGACAACTGTGAAGCACGATTTTTCCTCATGGAAGTCTTATGGGCTCTTACCATTACTCTAGTATCTATCCTCCACAATTCAGCCATGTTAGTAGTCTGCAGCTGGCCAGGCATCCTCAGCATCTCCTTTGAAAGTCAGCAGCAAGGAAGCACCCTACACGCTTCCTACACTGCTCCTCCTTAACAGCACAAGTTAACAACCACACCACAAAACAGCCTTACTAGTTACATCCAAAGATTTTTACTGACAGCTGCATAGTCCTATCGTTAAAAAAATGGATCTTTAACAGAGACTCCCAATATCCACCACTCCAGATCACAATGGCTACCTCAACTATTATCATTCATCTCCTTTGGGAAGCATTAAATAGCAAAGCATCATACCTTCCCAGTTACTGAGTTTAATAGTTTGGATAACTCCCACACATCATTACCAGGAGACTATTTGCATGCTTATACTCTATTATCATTTCATCAAATAAAATTTAAAAACTCTTGGAATTTTATGAATAAGACTGAATTAAATTAACTTCTACAAACACTTCCATACTTACCTTTTATCAAAGAACAAATTTCTAAAGATTATTACAGAAGTCGGGGAACAAAAAGGACACTACAGGGAAGTGGAACACCTCCTCAGAGATAGGGCACTTCAGATAATTTCTAAGATTTCCTCAGCCACAAAAAATGGGAGATACACACCTGAATGACCTGAGCAGCAACAAGTCACCACTACAAAGCGATGTACTTGCAGACTTTGTGTTTAATCACTTGAAGTCAGTAAGAGTAAATGCCTAAACTGGTCTCAGTAAGAGTAATGCTTTGCACCTGAAGAGGTACTAGGACTTAGCTCATTCAAAACAGGATGAAATATTCACAGGCTAGACCTTCCTCAAGGGAAGCACATTTGCAATTAAAGCAGCAAACCTTATTTTATGCAGCAACAGTATGTGGAATTCACTAGGAAATCAAAGAATTAATTATTTACAGGCATGATACTATACACAGTTGTATCGGGCACAAAACGACAGTATCTTATACTGTGTGACACTGGGCAGACACCAACAATTACTACAAGACACTATTTCTCAAAAAAAAAAACAATTTGGCAAGTACGCCATGAAGATATGACAACAACCCTGCAGCTTTCCTCTAAAGCATTCGTAAGGACTACTACCATGCTCTGTACAGATAGGGCTGATTTAGTTTTAAGCTTTGGCTTCACAGAATCACTTTTAAGCTGAGACACAGTTTATAATCTGGGTTCTCAGGTGGAGGGGAAAAAAGCAAAACCCAAAGCTGCTTAAACCGCAACATACTTTGAAGGCAATCTTACAACTGTTTTAAAGACACAAAATAAAAAAATCTGCCTAAGCTTACCAGAAATTAACACCAAATGGACATTACCAAACTTCAATGTTAACCCGAAGCATTTTTAAGCTACCACACATACATGTTTATTTTAGATTACATCTGCCCCATCCACTTAAAAAAAAAAAATCGCATGAGCTGAAGACTGATTTTAAGTGGCAAGAAACACCCCACCATTCCTGTATTAATTCTTCTTTATGGATGCCTTTCTCTCTTCTCACAAAGGGGGAGCCAGGAAGCTTTCAAACACTTCCTCCAGGCCTTCTGTGAGATCGAGAAGTGAAAGAGAAGAGCTTGAAGTTTGAAGTTGCTCAGCCCCTCCCTCTCAAGCAACACCACCCCTGCAAGCGCCATCACAGCTCCCAGGGGAAGAGCACCAGTCTGAGGAGCCACCCCCCTGCATAAGAGTGGAAGTAAGGCTTAGAAACAAAACAGACCTGGGAGTCAGGACAGTGAGAAAAACAACTGCTAGCACTACCTTTCAGTAGTACAGAGAAACTAGAACTACTATCTATGCTGCAATTGCTATTAGCTCTCTAATCACAACACAGCTAGTTTTATGTCAGCTTGTTCAAGGACTGCCAAGCATACAGGCACATAAATTGATGTAGCTTAAAGGCCGTTTACTCAGCTTCTTGAGCAGACTTCAGAGCTCACACTGAACTCCAGGAGGCCACACTAGTTTAGGCAGCTCCAGTAAGATTGGTTTGCTCTTACTCAGTTCTTGTTCTTGCATGTTACATACACACACCAAGTCACTGACTCCTAAGTAATTCCCATGATCTCCAAATGAGGCTCCCATTTCATAACTGCTAATTCTCCAGAGTGTTTGTAAAAATATTTCATCTTAATGTATGACTACAGTTTCCTTGCATCTGTTCCAAGTCATTAAATCGCTACAAGCTTGTAAGGTGTTATACAGCCTCCCACATCCGCCCCCCCCATTTTTAAAATGCCCATAGTATCCCTAATAATTTCAAGTATTCTGGCAGTACCAGAGCAGGCAAAAAGCTGCCTCAGCACTATAAGCTATAGTACTACACTAAAACCCTCTGAAACATGTCAAGCAACAGAAGGGTTCAACTTCTACTATGCAGACATTAACATGCCAGAAAAAAGTGCACCATGAAAAAGTCAAAGCTAACTAGAGAAAGTATTTCAAGAGATATCAGTGTATGATGTGACAAACTAACAAGTACAAGTTTGTGATTACTTGCTTTCTAAAGCCTTTGGAAGGTTTAACTGGTTCAGTGGCTGGTCACAGTTCCTAAAGCGGTAAATTTCCACACAGGCTTCACTGAAGTTTTATGCAATTCTTTTTCCTTGCCTAAGCACTTATGCTTTGCCCACTGCTTAGTTAAAAAGGGGGGGGGGGGAGTTGTCTAAAATATGATCTCCAGAAAAACTCTTCTACATTCCAGTTGAAAAAAACTTCAGAAGTGACTGTTAGTGCGAACTTGTTTGCTACTAGTAAGAATAATCACTTAACGGTTCTAATATTAGTCATTTATTTTTAGCAGAGAGAAAGGGGAGTGCTAGAATGACTTACTAAGATGCATACCATAAGCATGCAGTAAGCAACAAATCACCATTAAGAAATACTAAGCCTTAAAACCTGCCCACTACCCAAACCAAAAGCAAGTAAAAGAAAACAGTTATGAAGCACCTGCTGAAATACACTAGCTACATAGAGTACACAGACTTACACAAGCTGCTTGTTCTGAGCTCAGATTCCTGAAGCCAAAACACTCACCTCTTAACCACAGTTACTGAAACCAGCCTAACAAATCCCAATATAACTGAAAAAACTCATGCCTGCCAACAAATTACCACTGTGCTGCAGAGACCTCCTCTGCCCACAGATGAGAAAACTGGCACAAAACTTTGTTGAGGCTAGAACCCCATTACTGTCACACAGAAAAGTTAATGAAAAGGATAATCTGGTGTTTTGGCTGTGGGTTGTGGTGGAGGTTTTTTTTTCTTGGGGTGTGCATGTGTGCTTTTTATTTCCATAGAATTAGCATTATAAAATATTACGGTGATTGAGCAGAAACTTAAAGTGAGCTCTTTCTTTAAAGTTACCTCACAAACACTAAACGTCCTTTGCACCGTTAGATCTCAAAGAGCTGAAGCAGGCCAATGTAATAACTGAACGAGCACAGAGAAATTGAGACAAGTCTTCCAAAGGGCGTACAGAGTCATACTTTAAACCACCAGGCGCCTTCAACTACACTTAAGACAGCTCAGTGAACTAGTTTTGATCTAGTCCCTATGCTAAAACTGACGTCCTTGCTGACAATGAAGTACCTATGGACATAGGCTTTGGAACACCAAACCCCCGCGACGGTCGCACCGCGCTCCAAGGAATTCTTCTACCCTCCCAAGCGTGGTGACACGGGGGAAGCAGCACACGCACCTCGAACCCAGACCCGCAGCGGGGATGGAATGACAGTTTTCCCCGAGACACCGCTTCCACCCGCCCGCCAGACCGCGGGCACGGCGCGGGTACGGCCCGCCTCCGCCCGGTTGCGGCGGGAGGGACAAGGAGGACGGAGCGGCGACGGCGCGCTGCCGAGCCCCGCGGCCGGCGCTCAGCTTGGAGGCACCGTCCCGGGCAGGGTGCCCGGAGAAGCGCGGACCCGGGCGGCTGGCCGGCTCCCGCCCTGCTTCCCGCCCTCGCCCGGCCGGGGGCGACACCGGCCCTTGCCGGGCCCCCACACGAGGGAGGGGGGGTCTCTCGGCCTGCTCGGCTGCGCCCAGACAAAGGAAGGTAACGTGGACGAACCGGGACGAGACGGCAGCAGCCCCGGCTCCCTCGCGCAAGAGAGGCCGCCACATCTTTCCTCGCTCAGCCGGAGCCAACTCCGGCAGCGGCGAAGTAATCCGGGCCGTGGGTCGGAGGGCACCCAGCGAAACCAGTGTGTGAGAGTAGCGAAGAGCGGCGGCGGAAGGAAGAGAAAGGTACGGGACCGGTGGCTCACCAGGATCCGCTTGAAGAGGTTGCTCTCCTTGGGCGGCAGCGGCACGGACGGCATGGTGCGGGCGGCCCCAGGGCAGGCACGGCTGCAGGGACAGAGGGAGGAAGGGAAGGGAAGGAAAGCTGGCGGGGGCGGCCCAGGAGAAGCGGCTGTCCGTGTGGAAGAGGAGGAGCGGGAAAGCGAGGGGAGGCAAAGCCCGAACTCCGCGGGGCGGCAGCGGCGCGGCTCCTGCCCGAGCGGCGACTCTTCAACTCATTGGCCTGCACCGCCCTCCCCGCCGGCTCCCCTCAGCCGCGGCGCGCGAGCGCGGCCCCTCTGCGCAGCTGCCGGGGAGGCCTCGCCGCCGCCTGACGCTGCAAAATGGCAGCCGGGGTCCCCTCCGCGCAGGCGCACAGCGTCCGGCGGCCCCCGCCGCTTCCCCCTCAGACACGGCCCCCCCCTCCTTCCGTCCTGCATGCCCTGTCCGAGGGGACGCGCCGTTGTTCGGTGCTGGTGGCTCTCCTCTCTCGGTGGCACTGAGGGGAGTTACCTGCCATGAGTGAGGCCGGCGGCCGGCCCTGAGGGGGGCTCCCTCGGCAACGCCCCGAGGGGAGGAGGGGAAACGGGACACCCACCCGCGGGGATTGTTAACAAATGCTAACTCCCGCTCGCCCAGGTCATGGCTGCGTCCAGCGCGAGGTCCGCGGCAGCCGGGTGAGGAGGGGTTTGCAGCTTGTGGCCTTTCCCAGTCGCGGCTGGAGGGCAGAAAGCAGGTTTGCGCGCTCGCTGTTCTGCCTCTCTGCCTTTAGTAACCTAGTTTTGGTGGCTGCCATCCCAACAGCGCGTTCAGAGTGGGGCTGTGGGGAGCCAGGCTGCCCGGGAGGGATTGCTGGAGGAGAACTAAGTGCCTGGAAACTGCAGCGCTTGGAGAGGCTGTGTGCTTGCTGCGCCCTGGCTGGTATTTAAGGAAACAACAGCAAACTTCGCAGACTAGGAGTGAGCGGGGATGTCATCTATTGCATTAATGCATTTTTCAGCAGTCGGTTATGTAAAACTTTATTGTGCATGCTTGGAACAGTGAGAGTTTAATCATGGCGTTGCTCCTTCGCCAAAGGAGGTTTAAGATCTGTTGAGAATAGATTTTTATTATTTCCAGAAATGGTTCTTAAATGAAACTTTGCAAAAAAATTAGGTAAAAAAAACAACCCCAAACACGTCAGACAAACAGCAGCATTAAAACCACATGGCCTGGAGCATTTCCTTAGAAAGAAAACTGGTTAAACTGTCAAGGTTACAGCCAATTAAAGAGACCATCTCACAGGGCAAAAATTAGTCAGCTTCAGTTAGAATCCCTTTATGTAATTACCCTTGAAATATATTAATTATATTTTGGTATGTATTAAAAGGACATTAATTTTGTAACACATAGTTACTCACCTACTGTCCCTGATGATGACTAGGATAGGCACGAGGTGTTCCTACCCACAGTAAAGCAAGTGTGTGGAAAGCAGTATATAATAAAAGCCAATTTAAGCAGTTTATGAGCTTAAAATATTTGATTTGGTTATGCATAAATTAAGTGAGTGTGGCCATGACTGAGGATTACAAGCAGCAGGTCTTTGACTTCTTGCAAGTGTTGCTGAAGCTGATGGATATGATAGCTGCTTTCCTTTCAGGCTGAAGGAGAGAAAAAGGGAGTAGACAATTTCTTGGAAGAAAGTGACCTGAACAGTGGCCTAACTTGGGGACTACTAATTAGAAAAAAGTAGTAGGCTTTGGGAGCCTCTTGAGATGAAAACAGCAAAGGCAAGGAGAATGTTAAAGAAGTACAGCCTATCTTTTCCTAGTTCTTCTTAGCTGAGCATCAGTTTATGGCAAATGTTGTGGGTGGTGGTTGTTTTCAGTGTTGTTTTGTTAACCTGGTTAGAACTATGGTATGTAATAAGTTTCTTCATATCTTTATTGTGTTTATTCCTCATGCTTTTGTTCTGACATGCTTCTAATGATGTCAGTCACCTGGATCACTGATAGCAGTATGTGTGTTTTCCACATGCATTTTCAAGTTCACTGTTCCTTCTGCTAAACGACATAGTACTGCTGTATTCAGTATCTGATTTTCTACAAAGCAGGAATACTTTTGACAAGGATGGACAACTTGTCTTTGCCCTGCTGCATCATTTTCAGAGCCTGTTTGTACCACAGCATGTATTCAGCACTTTTTGTAACTAGCCTTGACTTTATGAACTCTAGGTTTCCGTCTTAGCAAAAGACATGTCTCCAGTTGAGTTGAGTGATAAACAGATGCATCTCCAAGATGGTCAGGCAAATATTGTGCTAGGTGGACCTTTAGTCTGAAGCAGTGAGGTTGTTCTTGACATCTAAAGGTTTCTGCTTCCTGGAAAGAATGCTGCCTGAAAATCAGCAAATTGCAAATAAGAGGCATGGGTTTGATTTGTATTTAGATATGTGTCTGTATTCAAATTCTGGATTAAAAGCAACAAGAAAAGGAAAGCAAGGAGGCAATAAAAGAAATGTTTGTAGACTAGCTGGGAGAGAATAAACAAAGAAACAAGCTTTTGAGGGAGGCAGAGCTCTAGTTGAAAGTGAGGTTTGGGAGCAGTCAAGAGAACTTCTTATCATTTAATCACACTATGCTGGACAAAACAAAGCGCTTTCTACAGGCTTTGTTAATAAACAGGACTATTCAAGACGCGTATGATTCTGTCACCAATTGTTCCTTCAAACAGAAAGAATTCAGAAGTCTGTTGACAAACTATTTGGGTTGAAAGGGCAGGAGCAATGTTAAAGTGATAGATACTTTGTAACACACTTGTGATTTTTGCCATGTCTTTCACATTATTCCATGACCTGTCAGTGTGGGTTGGTATCTATAGAAGTTGCAGCAGGATGCTTGCAGACCACTAACTCCAGTTAGGGCCCCCTGGGTAAAAAAGGGTCTCTTTAAGGGCATGGACCTGCCTTCCAGCCAAGCACATTGTAAGGCCTGGAGCCTGTTTTGTCTGATGAGCCATTTCTTTGCCTCCAGTTTCTAAAGCAGTTGGCAGGTTAGGATTGCCCTTCTGCACCCACCATGGGCTGCCGTGGTTGCTGAGGAAGGCAGTGGCACCCTGCCCCAAGCAGCCTGCACCCCATAACACTGGGTCTCACAGGGTCCACAGGCAGCTGCTTCAGCCACGCAGTTTTTAAGGTATCAAAGCAAATCATAAAGGGGATGGGAGCACAGACAGCGGTGGGATTTCCCATCTTTTATACTCAATTCCCATATCACGTTCTAAAAGCATAAGTAAACTTAGGGAAAGAGTATATCTTACATGTTTTGAATACGAGATGCATGGACTATGTCCTGTGGTTGACAGTGTATCTGGCAACCCTAACTGGCAGTATAGCACCCAGCTCTTTGTCTTGGCCATATGGTCACTGCATGGCCTGCTGCCTGCTGGGGAGAGCAGGCTCAGAGTTTGTTACAGTCTCTATTCACACTTAAATAATTTGCCCGCAATCAATCTGAATCATGATTGCATTTAATCAGAGGATTTAATGTAAGAACCATTACCAGCTGGAGTAGAAGCTGGGTTAATTTTTCCTTGGCCTACCCTACTCTTTAAAATCAATTTTTGAGTGTGTGGTTTGCTTACAGTTTTCATGGTTTTAGTTGTCCTCCCTTAGATTACCTTCCCAAGTATCAGATTCCACATTTAGAGGCCAATGCAAGGATAATTTCACTATTTCATTTCACTGAGGTGTAAACCATAGTGGATGAAGGGTGAGGCATGGTGGGGATGGCGTCTGGACGAGGGCATCTCCCATGGTACAGCACTGCACGCTCAGGCCAGGGGGAGAAACATTGAGGTTTCAGGATGCTGTTTGCTGTGGCCTTTCTCTAGCTTGGATCAGCTCTGGGGTGGATCCCATTCTCTGGAAGAGTCTTTTAATCTGTCTGCCTTACATTCTGTCTGCCTTACATTCTGTCTTGGTGGATAGAGCCAAGACAGAGTTTGTCCTCAGATCTACGTTAGTGGTCAGTTATCATTCACGTGCTGGTGAGATTGGATTTAAGTCATCCCCATCCATCGGTTTCATTTTCAGTCTTTTGGAATACTTACCTCACCAAATCCCAGTGGTGTTTTATGTGCCACATACCAAATCTTTACCTTCTTTTGTTAATCCTGTTGAATGACAGTAGCTGGGAAGAAAGCTTTTTAGGTGATTATAGGTATAAAAATACCCCAGTGTTCTGGAAATCTTTTTAAATGGGGCTTTGAGCAACCTGGTCTAGTGGAAGGTGTCCCTGCCCATGGTAGGGGGTTTGGAACTAGGTGAGCTTTAAGATCCCTTCCAATCCAACCCATTCTGTGATTCTATGATAATTAGGGAGATAGTTGTATAATCTGTTTAATATTGTCAAAGTGTGTGTATGCATAGTATCTTTTAAAAAATACCTTGTTAGGAAGCCACAGCCTGTTAGCATAATGATAAATCTGAACAGTTCATTAATATTTAGTAAGTGATGTTTGTCTTTACTAGTGTAGTTATAATCCATTTTAAGCATAATTGAACGGTGAGCTTTGACATAAAGTGGAACTTAACATAGTTTTATGCAGACTTCTCTGAAATTAATCTTTTAGTAACCAGGTGTGAAACATTTATTTCCAGCCCATGTTTTGGGAAAATACACCGAAAAATATATGTAATATAATAGCTTGGAGGCTGGAAAATAAGTATTCCCATTTGTTGTCACTCCTGCCATTTCTCCCAAAGCACTCCTGAAGCCAGACTGCGTTACTGTACAGCTGAGAGGATATCGACAACGAAGAGCTGTTTCCAAGGGCGCGTTCCCCATTTTTACTTTTCATCTCGGGTCTTGCTTTTGACAGAGCAAAGCTAAGCTACCTTCACCGGCAGCGGTGCTCGAAGGCCTGCGCTGGGGGCAGCCCCGGCGGAGGAGGCAGTGAAGGCAAGGCCGGGCGGGCTGAGGCACGGCGGGAGTCGTGTTCTGCAGCAGGCATGCTGGGACTGGGAGCTTTTCCGCTCCACTTCCCGTCTGCCATGGCCTCCTGTTCTGAGGCGGGTTCCGTCCGCTGCCGAAGCGTGCGAGAGGTGAGTTCCGGAGTTCCCCGGAGGCTGCTGAGGACCGGAGCCGAACCGAGACCCCGCGCCCCTCACGGTCTGCTTCAGCCTTCCCCGTCCGCCCGCACCCCTGCGGTGGGGGAGCGCTGGCAGGGGCACTTCCTGCTCGGCTTTCGGGTGCTTTGCTCGGGGCAGCAGTGCCGGGAGGGTGCGGTGTGTGAAAGGTTGGCTCGGCGGCGCGGCACTGAGCCGTCCGTGTTACAGTCTGCATCGAAACGCAGCCTCCTTCTGTGTACCTGTGTACTGCGTGTCTGAATTCGGTTTTATGGGGTTAATAGCATCTGCAGTTGACAGAAGTTCTTTTAAAAATCTTTTAAAGTGTTCACAATATTGATAATGCTTTCCTGTATGGAGAGATATAATTTTTTATAATAATTTATTTAGTTTTTTTTTTTTAAATTATTCTTTGGAGCACAAGTCTTATGAGGAATGGCTGAGGGAACTGGGGTTGTTTACTGGACAAGTTTCAAGGAGATGCTGTTTAATGCCTTCATTTTCTCTGAATCCACTTTCTTGTAAAAATCAGTAGACAGATGGGATTGCGGCACTGGCAGAGATATCAGGGAGTGCTTCTTTATTTGTTAGATCTTTTCTGTGTGGGTAGTCCTAGAACATGAATTATTTCCTCTTGGTAGACCCTTGCATTCCAATATAAATTTTTAGAGCACAGCCAGAATTCATAGCATAACTTGCAACACTGATGGTAGAAAATGAAAAGATCTTTCCTAAAGCAGCAGTGATGGTCAGGGGAGCCTGATATCCTGCAAAGCTGTAGGCCAGTTGTCTCAGAAAATACAGGTTGTATTTCAGGGTACCAACTTCTTATTAACTTTTTGGATAGAAAATATTTATATCATGTATGTGTAAATATATCACAGGAAGTAGTAAATGGGATATAAAGCACTGTTCCCATGTCTTACATAGTACATATATGGGGAATTTCTTGCAGGTGTCTTGGGATCCTATTGACTAATCTGTTTCAGGGGCTGTTTGCTGTTACTGATGTTCCGCTGGCAAAATGATATCGTGTTATGGTAGTGGATATAATTTTGCGCATAATTCTGGACTTCCCATACTTTCTTTATGTAGAATTCTGTACCTTTGGAAGATTCATTTTCTCTCAGCAACATTTTCATTTCACCACTAAGGCATTAAATGGTTGAATTTTTCTCAGGGAGACATGGCAAAATGAAGCTGTTGTCTGTAAAGCCATATCTACAGTAGCTTTTCCACAGCATGAATAAACTAAGTTTGAGGAGATAAGGGAAAAGACCATTTTCAACCATCAGCCATCACAGTGTTGCTGGTAAGAGCTTCTGGTTTAAACAAGGACTAAATCAGGAATAGTTTTGTCCATAACAGTTGCATTTTGTTGTTCCAGTCAAGAGCAGGATTTGGGCTTGATAGAGTTCTATGTTTGTTTGTTTTTTAACAGCATGATCTCTTTTTCTAGATAATAACACTGGTCCATATATTGTATACTTTTAATTTCAGCTGGTGGAAAAATAAGAAGCAAAATGAAACCTTTCCAAAGGGTCTGTCATTTCAAGAGCCTGCTTGCCAGTTGCTGCTGTCACAGTCAGCTTCCCAGCTGTCTTCTCCCTCCCACTGCAAAGAAGATAGGCTGTGCAGCGGAACTGCACAATGGTGGATTTTGGAAACCAGAATCTTTATTGGACACGGCTACATTCACTCTGTCTTTTAACAGCAGGCACAGGAAAAACCATCAGGATTCTCGAGCATTGTGGAAGCAGGAAGCAGTGCAGAAATATCTGGAGACACTAAGCAAGGAATACCAGCAGGTTAATCATCTGTTAAATGCTGACTCAGTAAATGACTTTGAGCAAGGAACCCTGAGGAGAAGATGTGCCGATCTGTCCCCAATTGCAGCTGCATTTCAGGAAATCAAAGAATCTGAAAAAGAACTTCAGGAGTTAGAAGCTATGTGCAAAGGTAAGGAGAACACATCTGCTTACTTCTTTCAAAACAGTCACGTTTCTTGCAATGAAATTCATTGCCAGCCTTTGAGGAATGCTTTGAAATAACTTAAGCCAGCCCTGGAGCATGCGCTGGTCCTTCCTGCTTCCTGGGAGCTTGTGTGTTGCTAGGGCTTTCTGCTTCCAGACACATCTTTCCAGTTTTCATGTCACCTCACTTCAGTTTCAGGTTTTAATACAGACAATTTGGGAGAGTAGAGATCATCTGTAATCTAGTAGAAATAGTTTGGAAATGTTTAAGGTTGTTTTTCATGGAACTGAGAGCAACATGAACTGAAGAAAAAAGATTTGGCAAGCTTAATACATTTGACATATGCAGACTTTACCCATGTTAATTAAAATGGAATTCCATTTAGCAGTTTATTGATACTTATAGAGCAAATTACATGAACTTTCATTAGGCCTAGGATTGTCAGCTTCCAATTGAAATGGCAAAAGCTAACATTTCTCTGAGAATATTCAAGGAGTCCTTCAAGGAATAAAAATTGATGGTTGTTTAAGAAGCTTCTGCTTTTCAGTAATCTGCTACAGTAGAAGTTGGGTAAAAAAGAATACCTTTCAGGAATAAGACTGTACACAGGGAATAAGATAACTAATGGTGCAGCATTTCGAGAAAAAAAAAAACCAACCCATTGTTAGAAGAGTAGGTGCACACAAACATCTGTTCTACACCAATAGGTATTAAGAGAGGGAAACATTGGCCTGGAGAGGATGTGGCTTATACTGAAGTAAAGTAAAGGGAAAAGCAAAGGACAGGAGAAAATGAGTAGCCAGTGGTGTAAATAGAGGAGGATGAGAGTTCATGGTGCTTTTCAGGGAGACAACCAAGGGGTGTGGGCAAACTTAAAAAGGCTATTTTTGGAGCAAGTAAATATAATGAGGAATTTTTCTAATTCCATAAATTATGATGTGGATAAATAGATTGAGTTCTGGTTGAAAGGAGGGAAAAGAAAAGAATGAAAAGAGGATTACAGCCAAGAAGTTAATTAAATGGAGCCAAATTGTTCTATGTGTACTCTTTATCATGTGGCCAAGTTAAAACACAGATGTTTGTGTCATCTGACTGCTCTTTGTTTTCTGTTTAACTCCCTAAACTGACCCTTTTCTCTGTAGTACCTGAATTCCTCACAGTTGCTATTGGATTTTATATTTGCAATACTCAGTGAAGCAGAAAAACATTATTTGCTGGTTTGGCACTGGTGATGTGAGTCAGAGGGGTAGGTGAAGTGAATTCTTAGAGGTCAAGTTTGCAGGGAGGTAGGAATGGGGCACCGATGTGATGTGAGCACCAGTGACCACCAATACTCACATAAGTGGTACTCATTCCAGTATTTCCCTGCATTTCTTGAACTGGGGAGCTCAAAACTGGACATGGTACTCCAGATTGTGGGGAAGGAAATCTCCTTAGGCAAAGCAAAGATCCCAAGTGAGGTCTTCCACCTCCTGATGACTTGCATCTCTCATGTCTCAGTGGCCTCTTGAATAGCAGAAGACAGAAGGTTAGGAGCCTCATTAGTATCGTCATAGCGTTATTTGTGGTGCTCACCTTAACAAGTTGCCTACAGATTGTTGAAGATAGGGTGTTTCTGGGCAAGTCTGGAAATTAAAAATTTTATTGCGTGAAAAATTGCAATAAAGGAAACCAAGACACAGCTTGTCTGCAGGCCTGGTTTTAACATATTTTGTCAAATCCATTTGTGTATTTATCCCTGGGCTGTCAATCTTTATGATATAACCATTAGTCTTACTGAGAGTAACTGTCAGGTGGGGCTGGCATCTATTTGATGTAGACTTTGAGCCCTAAGGTAGAGATTGAGAGGTAGGTTATCCATTACTCCTTCCAGCAGACCCGGAAAATATGATCATTTAGTTACTAACATGAATCCTGGCTTGGGCTGCTCTTACTTGGTATTTCATCCTGGCAGAATGCAGCTGCAAGCTTCTGTGTGCTGCAGTGCATGTCTGTGGACCGCTGTATTACAATTTGCTCTAAGGTAAGTGAGATTGACTAACATCTATTCCTGTTGTTGGAATTTAGAGCTAGATAGCAGAGATGAGAAACAACTTCTAGAGCTTGCCTTAGAAGAGAAGGAGACCCTGGATAAAAAAATCAACGTGTTGTGCAGAAAGGTGAGCCTGAGGTAAAATTACACAGCTTTGTAAATAAAGATGTCAGAAAAGCGTTCCTCTGTGATCTTATCCATAGACTCTGACACTTGCGTTTAGTAAATGAGAAGTCCACCTTGTGTATTTTCCCTGAAAAGAAGTGACAACGTTAATTATTTGTTAGCTTCTTACTGACAATTGTGTCTCAGAAGCTTATTATTTTAGTCACTTTTGCTTGTGTGCTTGTCTGTCTGCAGATGCTGAAGGGGGTTTAAAAAATGGTGAGCCTGCGCTATTGGGACTTGACATGACACCCTAGTAACACTTTGTTGGCAGTGGAGCATGTATTCTTGAAACATTTCTGGTTGGAACTTGCTGACTTTCATTTTCTTTTCAGCTGACAGCACCCAATGAGGAAATTAATTATAAGCAGAGGAGCTGAAATGATTCAGTGGAGAGCTCTGTGATTGGGCTCATTTCTATGTTCACATTGAAATAACATGAAATGGGACTTTCTGAAAAATAAGATGAATGTAACGATTGGCTGGGTTATAGCTAATAATTTTGTGGTCCTAGGTAGTTGGGGCTGGAGCAGGTAACCTGGCACTGGACTTCGGCTTGCTTTCCTGTGGATGCACCAGCGTATCCCATTTCCACAGTGATTGCACTGAGCTGCAGTGTCCAATGGACAGTTTTTAGTCCTACTTACCAGTTTGCCAGAATAAATCAGTGATGGTGTGCTCTCAAGCTGTGGCAATTGTCAAGACTGGCTGTAAATTTAATTAGGGGGGAGATAAAAAGTCGTGAAAGAGATAATGACTTTTTCCTTTCTTTCTTTCTTTTCAGCTTTTCCAGCTTCTAGTGCCAAAGGAAAAATACGATAAAAGTCATGTCATACTAGAAGTGACAGCTGGCAGAACAACTGGAGGTCAGCAAAGTCTCCACAATAAGGATTACTTCAAACCTCCATCCAACTTCATTAAACCTCTTATGGGTTATTCTTAATGCCTTTTTGTACGTTAATGGTATAAAATGGTACTTTCTAAAGAAGAGCGTTGATCTGTCTAATGAGTGTGGTTAGAGTTGCAGCTAAATCTAAAAACTGGTGGCTGCCATTTTGTGAACTGCTATTTATGTTGTCCCGCTTTTATATTTTTAGGAGACATCTGCCAACAGTTCACTAAAGAAATGTTTGAGATGTACCGGAACTATGCAGACTATAAATGCTGGACCTTTGACATTGTGAACTATACACCAGCTGAGATAGGTACAGTAGTTCTTCAGACATGCCACCACGACAAGGCAATTAAAAACAGTGTTTCTGTGCTATATTTGTCACACATTATTTGTGTCTGTAGGTGGGTTGCATCATGCTTCTGCTCATATTTCGGGAGATGATGTCTACAGGCATCTGAAGTATGAAGGAGGGACTCATCGAGTCCAGCGAATCCCTGAGACGGGCCTGTCATCACGAATGCAGCGTATTCACACTGGGACAATGTCAGTTATTGTTCTCCCTCAGCCAGAGGAGGTAAACCAGCTGTTAATCAGGATGGTAGGGCAGTGTATCCCTTCTCACCTCTTTGCCCGTTGGTTTAGGTGTTACTTGAAACCATGTTATCATTACTGTTTGGGGATTTTATTGATACCCAAGTGCTTTGTGCAAGCCCCAGCAAGTGAACCACAAGATCTGTGACTCTGGAAGGTGATAGTCCTTAGGCCTATACCTCACGTGTTTAAATGGGTCATCAGAAGCAACTTAGCAGAGATTTGCTGTTGCCTGAAATGGCGTGTAAATTGGTGGTGGTTTCAGTGACTGTTCCAGCCCCAACACTCACAGTAAGCCAATTTTAAATTATGTCATGTTTTAAGACAGGGAATATATCCAGAAAATATTCAGTGTTGCATAGTAATGTGATTCTGCAGGTCCATTGTTTTTTGTTTCATGTGGCCTCTGTTAAATCAAGGACAGTCTGCTTTGAGTATGAATGAGTGTGTTGGCTAGTCCTTCTGAGAACTTACTGGTACTGACAGCTCTCACTTAAGCCAGCAATTCACACATAAAATAAACAAAACCAAATCCTGCAGGCTTTCCCTGCACTCTTTCCTGCTTCCTTGTAATGCTTTCCTTGCAATGTTGATCAGATCTGAATGTTCCTTTCCCATCCACTGAGTTCAAACTATGGTCCAGGTCATCATGGGCTTTTATTTCCAATGCTGCAATCCTTACTTGGATCTGGATACACCCATTTTTTCCTCAGTTAGATGTTTCTAAGCACTGTTGCAAGAATCATTCAGGCTTGACTTATGGCCAAGATCTTGTACTGCTGTTTAGAAGTAGCTTTTGATTATTTCCTTATTTCTTAGCCTCACTGCCAAGGCTAGTGGTTTTACAGAAAGCTGCTGGTTTTGGTTTGTTTCACACCCCCACATTCCCCCCTCCCCCCCACCTTGTTTTGTGAAGGACATAGAGTGAGAGTTTGAAGAAAATGAGTGAAATATTTAAAGCGTTACTTGCTTTGCAGACATATTTGACATTGCACTTTCTTGAAGTATAATTATAGCTGTTAGGAGCAATTCTTTGAGGTATGGTAGTTTTTTTACACCAAGTATTGTTGCCATTCAGATACGTTTAGAATGAGCAAAAAGTAGCAATTTTCTTTGATTCTAGGTTGATGTTAACGTGGATCCCAAAGATTTGCGTATAGACACATTCAGAGCCAAAGGAGCAGGAGGGCAACATGTTAACAAAACTGATAGTGCTGTGAGAATTGTGCACCTTCCCACAGGTAAGGCTGGCTGCATTTCCTACTTGTAATCACCCTAAATCTGTATCCTGAAGGGAAAGCTTGGGATCCCAGAAGTTGTATCTTAGAGTGGGTTTGCAGGGTTGGGGCTTATGCCAAGAAAAGGAAGTGTAGCCTCTTCTGATTCTGCCCTCTGCTAGCAAGGCAACCTGTGAGAGAAGGGTTGTGTACCAGTGGCATGATGGTCAGACATTTCCTATTAATGCCAGTTTTGTCCTCAGAGGGAGCGTTTAATGAATACACTGTCTTTGAAGGATGAAAGGACCTAGAGGGTGACAGGGATGGGATGGAAGATGCAAATAATTTGTGCTCTGTGCTCTGTACCTTAAGGAATAACAGCCATTTGCAACCAAGGGTTGCTTTGCCTACCTGGAACCTGTGTAGTAGTAGGCTTGAAGATTTTCATTCAGTACTATATAGTTATATAGTACTATAGATTGTGCTTCAGTACTGTAGATAATGCTATCATATGTTAAAGAGGAAGGAAGATGTCTGCTGATAGAAAGGTAATGTATAGACTGGACCACTCTGTCTTTCTTGGGAGTTTGTTGTTATTGAAATTCAGTGGATTTCTATCTGTTCAGATGCAGAATCTCTTTAGACACAGGAAATACCGGTAGTGACCAGAAAACAGCTGTTTTCTATATGCCTTTTTATTTCAGAAATCAAATAAGAAGCAAAAATAAGTACTAGATTTCTTTTAAAGAGCTTTATTTTACTTTATTTCATTATTCATGGGTTCAAGACCACCAGTATTGTTTAGACACCCTTCTCTTCTAGAACAATGAATTTTCCAGTCTCCAAGAGCTTATTTAGACTGACTTTAAAAACTTGTGTTGCACTGTTATAAGAATGCTTCTGTAGACTGTGCAAATGACATCTTTAACATGAGAATGCTGATTGGAGAGAGCTCATTTTATGGAGGCAATGTCAGACTTGTTTGCTTCATGAAATGTTAAGGTATCCCTGCCTTTTCTGTAGTACTGACCAAAGCCCCTGGTACAGCTGTGAAGAGTGTAAAACTATACTAATGGTTCTGGCTGCTGTCTTAAAATGACCTTTTATCCTGCAGCTGAATGACCCTACAAACCAGCACTCCAGAAGGTTTCATTTGCCTAACGTGTTAGAATTAATTTCGCTTGTTTTTTCTTTGTTATACTGGGCTTTTGATGTGAGCTCTCTTGCATCCCTCTATTAAAAGGACTAGTAGTTGAGTGCCAGCAGGAGCGATCCCAGCTGTTGAACAAGGACATAGCTCTGCGGACACTGAGAGCTAAGATGTACCAGCAGACCATTGAAAAACAGCTCAATCAACAGCAGAGTGCCAGAAAACTGCAGGTGAGAACATGTGGTTGCTGAAATTTGGAGAGGGTGCTGTGTTGTAGGTTTGTTTCTCATCTGAGTGACAGTGATGGAGCAAGTGAGTGTGAGTGCCTGAACAGGTGTGTTCACAAAGGAGAATCTTGTGGTTTGAAATGCTCTGAATTTTACTTATCCCAGTTCAATGCTATTGCAGACTTCCCAAGCAATGCAAAAGAGGCATCAGCTATAGCTGGAAAGAAAAGGCCCAAAAGACTAGGTGGACTTATCTGAAAGGCAATGCTCTACATCATGTCCTGAATCCCCCTACTAAGGCCGGAGCTACAGGTAGAGTTACAAGTATACAAGTAGGGCATCAGTAAACAGTTACTTTCTGTGAAAACTAGGATCAGAAGTTCTCAAGATTGTGTTTTAACCTGTTTCTAAATCAGATTATTTGATAAGACCATACAGAGCTTTTGAAAGAAACAAGTATATAAATACTCCTGCCACTACATAGTGAGATAGCACTCACTATGTTAAAAGGCTACCTACAGTTTAGGTAGCCTTTTAAGGAAGAAACAAGCTCAGAAGTGTTGCATCCCAACTAGAAGGAAGTGCAGCAGGAGGGCCAGGAGACCTCCTTGGGTGTATAAGGAGCTGCTGAGGAAAATTCAAAGGACAAAAGAGGCTTATAAAAGGTGAAAACAAGGACAGGTGGCCTAGGAAGAGTACAGGGATGTTGTCTGAGAAGCTAGGGACCAGGTTAGGAAAGCTAAGGCCCAGTTAGAATTAAACTTGGCTAGGGATGTGAAAGATAACAGGAAGGGATTCTATAGGTATGTAGTGAATAAAAGACAGACTAGGGACAATGTAGGCCCCCTCCAGAAGCTATCAGGAGAACTGGCTACCCTGGATTTGGAGAAGGCTGAGGTTCTGAATGATTTCTTTGCCTCAGTCTTCACTGGCAAATGCTCTGACCACACCACCCAAGTCTTGGAAGGCAGACACAAGGACTGTGAGAATGAAGACCCTGGGCCTGCTGTAGGAGAGGACCTGGTTCAAGACCATCTTAAGAGCCCGAATGTACACAAGTCCATGGGACCTGATGAAATCCATCTGCAGGTCCTGAAGGAGCTGGTGAATGAAGTTGCTAAGCCACTGGCCATCATAATTTGAAAGATCATGGCAGTCAGGTGAAGTTCCCGATGACTGGAAAAAGGGAAATATAACCCCCATTTTCAAAAAGGGGAAAATGGATGACCCGGGGAATTACAGACCAGTCAGTCTCACCTCTGTGCCTGGCAAAATCTTGGAGCAGGTTCTCCTGGATGGGATGCTAAGGCACATGAAAATCAACAAGGTGCTTGGTGACAGCCGGCATGGCTTCACTAAGGGGAAATCCTGCCTGACCAGTTTGGTGGCCTTCTGTGACAGGGCTACGGAACTGATGGACAGGGGTAGAGCAGTTGATGTCATCTACCTGGGCTTGTGCAAAGCGTTCGACACTGTCCCCCATGACATCCTTGTCTCTAAATTGGAGAGACATCAATTTGATGGATGGACCACTCGGTGGATAAAGAACTGGCTGGCTGGCCGCACACAAAGAGTTGGGGTCAATGGCTCAATGTCCGGCTGGAGACCAGTAACGAGTGGTGTCCCTCAGGGATCGGTGTTGGGACCGGTCTTGTTCAACACCTTTGTCGCTGACATGGACAGTGGGATTGAGTGTGCCCTCAGCAAGTTTGCCGATGACACCAAGCTGTGTGGTTCGGTTGATGCGCTGGAGGGAAGGAATGCCATCCAGAGGGACCTTGACATGCTTGTGAGGTGGGCTGATGCCAACCTCATGAAGTTTAACCATGCCAAGTGCAAGGTCCTACACCTGGGTCAGAGCAATCCCAGGCACAGCTACAGGTTGGGCAGAGAAGAGATTCAGAGCAGCCCTGCGGAGAAGGACTTGGGGGTGTTGGTTGATGAGAAAATGAACATGAGCCGGCATCAGTGTGCGCTTGCAGCGCAGAAACCCAAATGTATCCTGGGCTGCATCAAAAGGAGTGTGACCAGCAGGTCAAAGGAGGTGATCCTGCCCCTCTACTCTGCTCTCGTGAGACCTCACCTGCAGTATTGTGTGCAGTTCTGGTCTCCTCAACATAAAAAGGACATGGAACTGTTGGAACAAGTCCAGAGGAGGGCCATGAGGATGATCAGGGGACTGGAGCACCTCCTGTATGAAGACAGGCTGAGGAAGTTGGGGCTGTTCAGCCTGGAGAAGAGAAGGCTGCGTGGAGACCTCATAGCAGCCTTCCAGTATCTGAAGGGGGCCTATAGGGATGCTGGGGAGGGACTCTTCATTAGGGACTGTAGTGACAGGACAAGGAGTAATGGGTTAAAACTTAAACAGGGGAAGTTTAGGTTGTATATAAGGAGGAAGTTCTTTACTGTCAGGGGGGCGAGGCACTGGAATGGGTTGCCCAAGGAAGTTGTGAATGCTCCATCCCTGGCTGTGTTCAAGGGCAGGTTGGACGAGGCCTTGGGTGACATTGTTTAGTGTGAGGTGTCCCTGCCCATGGGCAGGGGTGTTGGAAGTAGATGATCTTAAGGTCCTTTCCACCCTTAACTATTCTATGATTCTAAGAAACACCTTTTATAAGAGAGTTACCTGAAATTATGATGCAAAGTGAGCTTTTCTCTTGAAATGTGCTATCATTCTTTTCCCATTCTTTGAATATTTTCCCCATTTGTGGTCTGAACTTCAACAGTGATCACCAGGAATAAAACTACTTCAGAATTACAGTATTATTCAGTACTTTGAAGTTTTTAGCTCTTCTATTTAATCATTAATTTCAGGTTGCATGTAAGTGTATTATTCCTGCAGGATATTAGGCCAGTCACTGGAAGTGGTGAGCCATTTCTCTTGTGTTAATAATTTTAGCTTGAGATCCTTTAGAATTGCATAAAGGACTTAGATGTACATTTATATGAATACTGCAGAAAATCAGGCAAAAGTGAATTGCTTTTTGTAATGTTTCAGAATTTATTCAGTAAATGCCTTATTTTAAAATATACGTGTTGAGTGCAGGTGAATTTTTCAGCAGCGCCCACTGGAGCAGACACCCGTTTCTCTATGCAATTTTTAGCATTTAATTCGGTATTTTAACAGTGTTTAATCACACAGCAACGCTGTGTTTTGATTTCTATCTTCTAAACGGCTTGCATTCCTGCACTTCACCACTAGAGGACTACTCTTCGTAGTCTTAATTTACTCCTCGTTCGGTACTAACGACACCCAGACTTCAGTGGAGCGGCTTTGTCACACGTTGACTGGGCTGCTTATTAACGGGGCCCACTTTCGTTATTTCTCGTGGGAGCTACACCCCCCAAAAAAAAACCCCAGCCTTACATTTTTGAACTAAGGACTTGTGTAGATCTATCTCTGGCCTTATGTGACTTCTGAGAGTTAGGTCGTTCTTCCAGCTACAGAGCTGGACCACAGATGTGCTGGGGTGTAAGAACTTGGTCTGTGATACAGAGTCACAAATCATTGTTTTGCCCAGAGAAGCTGTGGCTGCCCCATCCGTGGCAGTGTTCAAGGACAAGTTGGAGGGGGCTTGGAGCAACCTGGTCTAGTGGAAGGTGTCCCTGCCCATGGCAGGGGGATTGGAACTGGATGAGCTTTAAGGTCCTTTCCATCCCAAACCATTCTGTGATTCTATGATAATACAGTTTAGCAATGCCAAAGTATTTAAAAATCTCATATGCTAAGCCAGTGACCACTAGGTTTGTAGTCAGAATAGTCTGATCCATCAAAGTTTATTCTAGGTATGCTGCTTGAGGGTGGAATTTGAGTCTATTTCTTTTTAAACACAATAAGATAGAATTGTTTTTTTTGCTGCTTTGCTACAGTTGGGAACAAGAGCCCAGTCAGAGAGAATCCGTACTTACAACTTCACCCAGGACAGAGTCACCGACCACAGGATCTCGTATGATGCACGCAATATCAAGGTAATGGTTGCTTATGGGAGTATTTAAAGTTACTTATCTGTACCACAGGAAGAAATTAACTTACTGAAAACAATACAGTCTGAATGAGGAAATCGAGATAGCCAGTTGTGCTCTGTCAGAACAGATTTAGAAAGCTGAAACTTTCTTTCCTGCCCGGTTGTGCAGTGCTGTTAAAGATATCTGGCACAGGATATAGCTTGCTGGCCTACTTGTAGCCCTCAGTCAACTCCCTGAGTCCCTCAGCCAAACTGGCAAGTGACATTTGGGATGCTTGAAGCTTAGTACATCCGCAAGAAAGACCTGACACCAAGGACTTTTTTTTTTGTTAAGCCAGTCTTGCCTCCTCCTAATGCTGGAGTGAAGAAAAACTTCTATGTTTGCCTCACAGGCCAGTCAAATGAAAGAGAAACCAAATGCTTTCATTTTAAGATTGCCTGAGGTCTTATTTCTCAGTAAATCTCTGCATACGGCTTGAATCTTGATTATTTATTGTTGTTTTACAGGGAAACAAATATGTAGTAATGCATTTTTGTGTATTAAATTTATGAAAATGGTTTGAATTTTAGGACAAAGTTTAGGGTGACCCTTCAATATTTGGCTTGGGTATCCAGTTCACTGTAAATGCTGTTACATAAGGATCCACGCCTTTCGAATTGTACCCAGAGGTGTCCTGGGTAACTTCAGGGAACACAGGGCGTGCTGAATATGGAATGGTTCATGTTCAGTGAGTGGGGAATAGGTACACAGATACCATGGTGGAGGAGAATGGGAAGAAGTTTTAGTATTTAGATGAGACATGAGGAAGAAATTCTTCCCTGTGAGGGTGGTGAGGCACTGGCACAGGTTGCCCAGAGAGGCTGTGGCTGCCCCATCTCTGGCAGTGTTCAAGGCCAGGTTGGACGGGGCTTGGAGCAACCTGGTCTAGTGGAAGGTGTCCCTGCCCATGGCAGGGGGAGTTGGAACTAGCTGATGTCTAAGGTCCCTTCCAACCCAAACCGTTCTATCATTCTGTGGTTCTGTGAGTTCCACAATCACATAAAACCAACTTTCATTAGTTGAACTTTTCAGTTACTTAGTGTTGGGAACTTGTTACTTTCTTGAGTGAAACTGGAACCATAAACTGCCTGACAAAAGTTAGCTGGGCTCTGCTTGTAAAACAAACTAGATCTTGGCATGAGCAATCTGTATTTGACTTGGGTTCTTCAACCCTCTATTGCTCTTGCCTAGGGGATTTGCATGTAAACGCACGGGTTACATGAAAGCGTGGCAGGAATGCACCAGCAGCTCCTGTTGTTGCTGCTGGAATCAGTGTGCTGCTCACAGGCAGCCAGCTGAAGTTCCACTGCTGTGCACCATGGCATGTTGCATTCACACAGGGGGAGTGCAGAGGTGAGCAAATGAATGCGTCAAGATAAAGACTCCAGGCAAAGTGCATTCCAGGAGCTCCTTGTCTGAGTCTTGGGCAATTTGGAATTATACTGATGTACAGTCAGTAATGCTTTTGCCTGGTTTTGTTGTTGTTTTTTTTTTTCATAGGAAATTCTAAATGGGAAAGAAGCACTGGATAAGCTCATCAACAGACTGCTGGAGTTTGCAGAGATGGAGGCTGTCACTGAGTATCTAGAAAGTTTGCAGGCTGTGGAAGGAGGAGGCTGCTGAAGGCCTTGCATGGAGATAGAGCAGAAATGTTGTGTTCGGTAGGAAAATAGATGCATTTGTTAAATAAATCTATGCTTCTGTTTTTCAGGGTGTGGTGCTATTCTTTTATACTTAGGTGCAAATGGATTGAATTCATTTCAGCAGTCCTTGCAGAAAAGAACAAGCTTGGGGTACTGTGTGCGAATACTGTCTGTCTTGGCAGCATGGCTTTGTTAAGCTGGACCTCCTGACATATTGCAGCTGGAAAGGCACAGAATTGTGGTGATGGAGCAGAATACCACATAGTGCATGTTTTGGAGGTGGCAAATGTTCCTCTCCAGGTGAAAGAACCTCAGCTCCCCAGACAGTCTAGAATCTGGCCTTCCCTTCAAAATAAGTCTGTGTTATGATGCTTTAATTTTTAGAGTGAATATACAAAAGCAAAGGCAGCAGTTTTGAGGCCTGTCAGCTTGCTTCTAGCCACTCTTGGGTCAGCTTAGGATGGGACTGGACCACATGCTGCGGTGGTATGTAAAAGTAGGTGTTCTGGTTTCCAGCTGAGTTGATGAGATTCCAGGAGGAGTTCAGCAATGATAGCAGGCAGCTCCCTGCTTCTTGGCAGAGAAAAGAAGTTCACAGTGTGTTGTGTTTTAGCAAATGGGTAGCTCTGCAGTTCAATTTCTGCCTTGATGACTTTGGGAATGTGGGCCTGTCCCTGAGGGTGATCCATTTGCTTACAGAACATTTGGACGCAGCGGTTCAAGAATACTGATGTGTTTAATGTCACATGAACTCAGAGTGCTCTGCTGAACTGGGCTGACTTGCTACAACACTGTGTTTTTTATCCTGCTCCTCCCAGGTTTTGCTATAAAGCTGCTCCTCTGTACAAGCTTTTGCATGTGAAGAATCAGTTGTTATTATTTAAATTAAGCCTTCTTGTTGATTTGTATTTGCACATCTGTTTTGTGATCACAAATGATACAGGACTGAGAAAATGACAGTTATTGTAAGGAAAACAATCACTTTGACACAGTGTTAATCTAAATGGTGTAGTTTTTACCACTGTATATTTAACAAACAACAGTTAACTTTATTCAGCTGTATTTAGAAAGATGGAATTTGAACCAGGAAGCAAGTAGGAAAACTATCCTCAGTTTCCCAATTCTGGAATTATTTTTCAGTTCTTTGGCATGTTTTCACATTCTTATCAGCAAGTTTTGTCTGGTAATTTCTGACTTGCTCCCAACACTTTTAATTATGAAAACTCTTGGGTTTGCTTGGGCTTCTTTCAAATGTATAGCCCTGTGAGTCAATTGGGAAACATCACCACACAGTTTATGAGTCATTGGGACACTTGAACTTTGAATTCTTACAGTAAGCAGTTCAGAAATAAAACCTGCAGGAAGGTCTGCAGCTCAGCTTCTACTAAAGGCAGTAACAGAAATGCTGTGAACTAGTTTACGTGCATTCCCCACCTTTTAAAAGTGCAGATCCTTGACTCTCAGGGCATCACCCATCAACCTTAGAGGAGCATGTATGAGGACTACTGAATGACAATCTGTTACCATCAGAAGGTTTATCCATTCAGCTATATTTGGAATGTTGTTTCAACAAACGTCACCTGAACTCTGGTAAGAATTGTAAAATTAACAGTTTTAACTTGGGTCATTTGTTACTTGTAATTGATGCACAGAACAAACCCATTTCCAGTAAGTGCTGAACATGCTACTGGAAGGCACCAGACACTTCTATTCGTGACCACAAAATAAAGAATTTATTTTAAGAAGCATTCCCACATTTCCATCCCTATTTTGGTTTATCTTGACCCCAGGCCCCATTTTTAACAGAACATGCACTCGTCCATCTCCCAGCTTGCCCTGACCCCCCTGAACAGATGAACAATGGTAGCAGATGGTTCAAATGAAAGCTTTATTCAGGGTCTTCATATAAACTCCACTTCAAGAGCTTGCAATATTTGTAATTGCAACTGAGAAGCTGCTAAAGAGAAACCCACTGTTTAATGTTGCAGAAGATACCTATAAATTAAACCACTCGCTTCTCATTCACCTGCTCCTGTGCACTTCCCCCTCTGTAATGAAGCCATTAAATTCTCTCTCTTCAGCCCCCAGTCTGTGTAATGCTTTCTGCTGGGTTTTAACATGGGCTGTGTTTACTTCTACAGGTAAAGTCAAACCTGTGTTTGCTGACGCTGTCTGAGAACCCTCTGGGGCAGATGCAGCCTTTTTCAGAATATTATTTGCAACGCTTTTTGCTCTGTAAAGAAGCTTTATATTCAAGCTATATCCCAAAACATTTCACAAAGCTCAATCTGTTTGTCACACAAACACTTCACACGACTTCTAAGTTAAATAGGCAGAAGGTAAAGAGGACTTAAGAGGTAGATACAAGAGAGACTGAAGAGGTAACAGCTGACAAAGCAGAACCAAAGCGTTGCTGCAGAAGGTACAGAGACAGCTTTTGTACCAGCCAGCACAAGGATTAAAAACCCCACAGGAAGAATGGGATCTGTCTCAGGAAGCAGGATCAGTGAGGAAATCAGAAGAGCACATGGGGTTGAAACAGCTTATGGCTGTTTGAGAGTAGATAAGGTTGTACCTCTCCAGGGCATGATGCAAACACGCAGCAGGAGCTGGGATGGGGAGATACGGTGGCCTGCGTAAGACAGCATGATGCTTCCCCAAATCCCAGTGGAGCAGAGGTGAAGTGAAGGGAGATGCTGGAGATACAGCACAGCGGTGATGTGGAGGTTTGCATAGCTGGGAATACTGGAGGAAGACTATTTGAAGAAGATAGCAATAATAAAACAAGTACTAAAAAGGGGAGGCACAACTCAAAAAGCTAATCAAGGAAACCAAGAAACATGAAAGTTTTTTACTCCCTTTCTGAGATACCAAAATTTGCACTGAAGTAACATATTTTTCAAGTGAAAAAGAAGAAAAAAAGATAAAGGACAAAAGTTTTTATACAAGCACAGGTGAATTTAACTTGGATCCATGTCATGACCAGCCTTCCCACCTTCTTAATCTGAACACTGGGACTGGATGATGCCACAGCACAGATCTTCTCTATGATAGCCAAACACAAAGCAAACTGTACACTACTGGGAAAATCTGGATTTCAATCTACAAATTCCCAGGTGGAGGGTTAAAATTTGGCTTCGCCTAATGAGGAACAAGGAGTATTCTATAACCTGGGTCAAATAAGCAGGTCTCTGCACAGCTCCTGGTATAAAGAAATGCCCATAAAAGTAACTGCAATATACTGATATGCATCAACTGCATATCAAAGTATATGCAATACGTTTGCTTCTAAAAGCATCACCAGCTTTAGACAGACCCTGCTATAAAAACACACACCCCAAAGAAAAGCATCCTGTACTGTGAATCTGTCTTTAGACAGACAAGACGGGAGAGATGAGGTGAGGAAGGAAAAATACAGAACTGACTTGCTCAAACCCACACAAATGAAGCCATTGTCAGACACTGCAGTGACTCCCCTTTTCTCTCTGACTCTCCTCGTATTGCTAACAATATCCACAGCAGCCTACAAAACCAGGAGCTTGCAATAAAAGGAGGCAAGCACTTAAAAACACGCTGCATGACAGAAAATGGGTTAGCGAGGAAACACAACACTTTTCCTCTGGTAGCACTGTTCTTCTCAAACAGTAAAAGGAACATTCCTTTACTGAAGGCCAGTGCAGCTGAAGCAGGATTAGCAGATGATGAGCATAACTGTGGTAATACCTACAGGATTCCTACGGCAAATTCCAAAGGCAGAAGATTTTGCAGGGAGATAGCACAGGAGGAAGAGGGATCTGCACAGAACCTGTGTCCTGGAAAAGCAGTGTCTCCCTTAAATCTTACAAAAGTGTGTTTGTATCAGAAATACTTGGTTTAGATACACAATAAGGAAACTGAGTGACAGCACGGTGCAAAATTAAACGCTGGCTTTGGAGAGATCCCATTTAATTCAACTGGCCCTTACTGTAATTTAAAGACAAAGAATGAACTCGTCTCTCCTCAAACTCAGAGGCAGTGGGGAGTGGAGAGCTCTATTTCTTTGTGAAACACAGGCTTTAGAAGTTCCATCAGCAAAAGCAAGTGTATGGTATTTAAACCAACTTTACTATCAGTGAACAAAGAGAACGTTTAGTATCTTTTCCACTAATGCTTTGGTTTGTCTATTTAACACCGTACTTGACAAAGACCTTTGCTTGATATTACAACTAGCAGCAGCTCCTCAAGGAAACAAGTTTGGAACACTTACTTTCAAATGGTTTTAAACACCTCCTTGGGCAGCTTAGTTACAGGTATCTTAAATCACTGCCAATGACCAATGTGACAAAATTTTTAAGGAAAGATGTTAATATTTTGGGAACCTCACTATAAGAGAAAAGATAAGCTCCTCACAGGATTTAAAAGTGGAGCCTACAAATAAAACAGTATACTACTGTGCCAATAAACAATGAAATCACTTTACAGAGCTTCTAAAGAAATGTACACACTTTAGACTTGGAGTAACAGAAACAGATGAGTACAGCAGTAGAAAACAAGTTTGTAAGGAAAAAATGATTGTGCTTGAAAGGAAAGCAGGATCAGCTGTTAATGTGGCAGCTGGCAATGGCAGAGCAGCAGAAAGAGCTGGCTGTACTGGAAAATCACAGGGTGCCAATGGCAGGCGGCATGATGCAGTCATCTGAAAGGCAAATGTGGTTTAGGGCCACATGTATCAAGAGTCGCTTCCAGTAGGCCAAGGAAGTATTAGTGACATCACCCATGGCCTTAATCTTCCTTGAACACAGAGCCCAGGCAAACTCAGGCTGGAATAGGTGAAGAGAAGCGGTGGTGGTGGAGTGCCACACAAAGACGTGTTATGCGATGCTGAAAAGACATGATGGATTCAAGAGGAGGGAAAGCTAGTTAGCTGAAGGACAATACTTGTGTAAATTGAGAGGAAATGCACATAAACTTGTTACAAACACACAGAGGCTCCAAGCTGCTGCAGTAGTGTTCAGACATAAACAAAACCTGAAAACTGCTTTTTAAATAAACCTGACAACCCCTCCTCAGCAGAAAGGACACT